GTGCCGATAAAGGATGCCAGAACTGCAGGCCATGACTTAACCTTCTACGCCAGAGCGCTGGCCCCTCAACTCTTTTTATTATGTTGGTTAAGTCTTATAGTGGTACTCATCCCTTTTCCACACGCAGTTGAGTGGGGTTTTTGTTGTTGTTGTTGTTGTTGTTACTATCAAGATTTTTTTTCTTTTTTTTTTAAACCTTTAAAAAAATCTTATTTATTTGAGAGATGGAGTTACAGATAGAGAGGAAGAGACAGAAAGAGAGGTCTTCCATCCACTGTTTCACTCCCCAAATGGCTGCAACTGCCACAGCTGGGCTGATTCGAAGTCAGAAGCTTCCTCCAGGTCTCCCATGAAGTGGCAGGGGCCCAAGCACTTGTGCCACCCTCCAGTGCCTTCCCAGGCCACAGCAGAGAGCTGGACCGGAAGAGAAGCAGGGGTTGGCACTGTGGCTTAGTGGGTAAAGATGCTGTCTGCAGTACTGGCATCCCATATGGGCACTGGTTTGAGTTCCAGCTCCCTTACTTTCAATCCAGCTCTCTGCTATGGCCTGGGAAAGCAGTAAAAGACGGCCCAAGTCCTTGGGCTCCTGCACCTGTACGGGAGACCTAGAAGAAGCTCCTGGCTAGGGATAGGCGCAGCTCCGGACGATATGGCCATCTGGGGAGTGAACTAGAGAACGGAAGACCTCTCTCTCTCTCTGCTTCTGCCTCTCTGTAACTCTGCTTTTCAAATAAATAAATAAATCTTAAAAAAAGAGTAAAAAAAAAAAAAAAAAGAAGAGGATCAGCCAGGACTCGAATCGGTATGCATATGGGATGCCAGTGCCTCAGGTGGAAGCTTAGCCTACTATGTATGTCACAGCGCTGACCCCTGTTTTTTTCTACTATAATTCTTTGGATTCATTTTTGCTGATAATGAAAAGCTATTAATGTCTTTTAAAACACACTTGCATTTTTTACAAATTTTAACTTATTTGTGAGGGGTGAGATATTCTCTCTCTCTCTCTCTCTCTCACACACACACACACACACACACACACACGAAGAGACAGAGAGACAGAAGTGGAGGAGGTGATACAGAGATAGCGAGAGAGCACCTATTGGCTGGTTCACTTCTCAAATGCCTGCAATCGCCCCTGGCTGGGTCTGAAGGTGGAACTCCCACATGGGGAGCAGGGACCCCACTACCTGAGTCATCACCTGCTCTCACAGCAAGAGCTTAACAGAAAGCTGCACTCAGGAGCCGAGCTGGGCATTAACCCCAGGCGCTCTGATGGGGGACGTTGGTGTTCTAACCACTGGACCAAACGCCCATCCCTGTCTATGTTTCTTTCTTTTTTAAATTTATTTGATTGATATGAAAGGCAGAGTTAGAGAGAGAGAGAGAGAGAGGTCTTTCATTCACTGGTTCACTCCCTAAATAACCACAATAGCTGGGGCTGTCCAGGCTGAAGCCAGGAGCCAGGAGCTTCATCTGGGTCTCCCACATGGGTGCAGGAGCCCAAGCACTCTGGGCCATCTTCCACTGTTATCCCAGGCATAATAGCAGGCAACTGAATCAGAAGTGGGCCATCCAGGACTGGAACTGGCTTCCACATGGGATGCTGGCATTGCAGGCAGAGACCTAACCCACTCTGTCATGATGCCATCCCCCTATCTGTTTCTATAAGGCTTCAATGAAATAGCTTGTCCTATGAGGTTTTCAATGGTTCTATTAGCTTTCTATATACATAATATCAACTGCAAATAATGACAGTTTCTGCTCTTTTCCAAATACTTACATTTATCTTCTGTTTCACGGGTTATAACTTGTGAATAATGTCAGCATACGTATCTTTGTCTATGATTTTAGTAATTCCTTTAACATTCTACTATTAGGTAAAATAGTAGTTATTCTTCTAACTGAGATACTGCTTCACTATTTTGAGCATGTACCTTCTGGTCTTAGTTTTCTAGGGTTTGTATGTTGTAAAAAGTTTTCAGAATTTTATTATTTAATTGAGAGACCCCCTGGTTCACTCTCCAAACTCTCCTAAGGAAGGGGGCTGGGCAGGGACCGAGTACATAACCCAGGTCTGCCATGTGGGTGGCAGGGACTCAGTCATAGGAGCCATCGGTCCTGGGGGCCTGCACTGTCAGGAGCAGGAGCTGAGAATCAAGCCCAGGTACTTGCAGGCAAGACGCAGCTGTTCCAATCACCAGGCTAATACCCACTTCCTCTAGCCGATTTTATTTTTAAAAATCAGAAATGCTGAATGTAACTCAACATTTTTAGGTCATCTGTTTATATTACCATGTAAATTTTCTGTCAAAACTAACATTAGAGGATTTCTTTTAATTTCTTTGCTATGTTTTGGGGAATGAATGATTCTTTTAACATAAATTCTATCTACCAATATTATAATAAAAACTTTCATATCTTATTCATATTTGAGATTGAGTTATAATTTTCCATTTTTAAGTAAAATTTTTGTAAGTTTTTTTTAATCTGTCTTCATTTCATAACATGGATTGGGCAGCTTCTATCTTTGTGTGTATTATGGAAAATTTTACTGAAACAATCATTTCCTAATAGTGTGGAAGAATTCAGCAGGAAGACTATTTGTTTTAAGATCATGTATGGTAATTCCTTGAAAGTATTCTCTACTTCATCAAAAGTTACCAGGATTGGGCTGGTGCTGTGGCGCAGTGGGCTAAGACTTTGCTGCAGGCCAGCGCTGCGGCTCACTAGGCTAATGCCTTGCGGCGCCGGCACACCAGGTTCTAGTCCCAGTCGGGGCGCCGGATTCTGTCCCGGTTGCCCCTCTTCCAGGCCAGCTCTCTGCTGTGGCCAGGGAGTGCAGTGGAGGATGGCCCAAGTGCTTGGGCCCTGCACCCCATGGGAGACCAGGAGAAGCACCTGGCTCCTGCATTCGGATCAGCGCGGTGTGCCGGCCGCAGCACGCCAGCCGCGGCGGCCATTGTAGGGTGAACCAACGGTAAAGAAAGACCTTTCTCTCTGTCTCTCTGTCTCACTGTCCACTCTGCCTGTCCAAAAAAAAAAAAAAAAAACTTTTCTGCAGCACCAGCATCCCATATGGGCACCAGTTCAATTCCTGGCTGCTCCACTAATGATCCAGCTCCCTGCGGTGGCCTAGGAAAGCAGTGGAGGATGGTCCAAGTGCTTGGGCCCCTGCACCTGTGTGGGAAATTGGAAAGAATCTCCTGGCTCCTGGTTTTGGATCGGCCCAGCTCCAGCCGTTGTGGCCATTCAGGGAGTGAACCACCAGATGGGACACCCTTCTCTTTACCTCTCCCTCTCTCTGTAACTCTACCTCTCAAATAAATAAATCTTAAAAAATAATTGATTGCAGAGAGGTAGAGTTACAGACAGACAGATCTTCCATCTGCTGGTTCACTCCCCAAATGGCCTCAATGGCTGGAGCTGGGCATATCTGAAGCCAAGAGCTAGGAGCTTTCTCCTGGTCTCCCAATGTGGGATATATGGCACTTGGGCCATATTCCACTGCTTTCCCAGGCCATAGCAGAGAGCTGGATCGGAAGAGGAGCAGCCAGGACACAAATCAGCACCCACATGGGATGCTGGTGCTGCAGGTGGAGGCTTAGCCCACTATGTCACAGCACCAGCCCCTGAAATTTTTATGACCACTACATTTCATAATTGAATGTGTTTTTTATTAAATAAAAATGACCTTCCTTATTCTACCTTATGATTTTGACATGTTAGAGTGTCGGTTTGCCTAAAGTCAATGGAGTTAACATTATCATTTCTTTAATTTCTCTATACTTGATAAAAGTTAAAACAAAAAGTTACATGTTTTGTTTTAAGACTATTTTTATAAGAAGCATACAATTGGTTCTTAATTTTTAACAAAGTTTATTTATGTGAAAGGCAAAGAGACAGAAAACAAGATGGTCCATCTGTTGGTTCACTCCCCAAATGTCTGCAACAGCTAGGGCTGAGCCAGGCTGAAGCCAGGAGCCAGGAACTCCATTCAGGCCTCCCAGGTGGGTGGCAGGGACTCCAGTCCGTGAAGCATCATCTGCTGCCTCCCAGGCTGTGCATTAGCCGGAAGCTGGGTGGGAAGTGGAGGCGGGACTTGTTCCAGACACTCTGCTAAGGGATGTGGCTTAACCCACTGTACCACCCATGCATTTTAATTTTTAACTCAAGATGAAAGTATTGGCTTTTTTTTTTTTTTTTTTTTTACAGGTAGAGTTATAGACAGTGAGAGAGAGAGAGAGAGAGACAGAGAGAAAGATCTTCCTTCTGTTGGCTCACTCCCCAAATGGCTGCCACGGCTGGCGCTGCACTAATCTGAAGCCAGGAGCCAGGTGTCTCCCCCTGGTCTCCCCCGCAGGTGCAGGGGCACAAGCACTTGGGCCATCCTCCACTGCCTTCCTGGGCCACAGCAGAGAGCTGGACTGGAAGAGGAGCACCCGGGACTAGAACCCGGCACCCACATGGGATGCCGGCGCCGCAGGTGGAGGATTAACCAAGTGAGCCAAGGCGCCGGCCCCAGTACTGGTTTTTAATATGGCACCTTAGCCCATTTATTATTTTGTCAGTATCTATATATTTAATATGAACCTCTTTCCTCTTTGAAAGCATTTAAATGTTGGCTTGTCACTTGCTTTCTGTCTTTTGTTATATTGATGGGGCTCATACATTTTAACTTCTACTAGATTTGAAAGGTGTGTCCTCTGTTTTTGGTTTCCCTGGTGATTAGCTGTGAATGATTCAAGTTGAGGTGCTGAAGGATAGGGCGGATGAAGGCTCAGGATTCACGGCCTAAAACCATGGACTTGTGGAAGACGGTTCTGTGTCTCCTCTGTTTTGTGATCGGTGTCTCGAAGTGCCAGACACTCCGTGAAGGCTGGCAGGGGCCTGCGAGGATGGCGAGTACAGTGGAGGAGGGGCTGCCCTCAGTGTGCGAAATCCACAAGTTCCTACCGAGCCACTGCCCCCAAAGGTGCAAAGCAAAGATGGCCAAGACTCACCGTGCAACGGGGCTGCATCCAGGGCTCCCCATCCACCTGCATCGGCAGCAGCTTGTTAGTCCTGGAACCCCGAAAAGTGAGAGAACACAGTGAGCTCCTTGGAGGAGGGGGTAGTGGCAGTCAGGGCTGCCTACACCTGGGAGACCTTCTCTGTCCTGAGCAGTGTGTTTATAGTAGATTGCTGGTCTACCACAGGGATTCCAACGTGGCATGTCTGGGGCCAGCCCTGGCACCAGTGTTTTCAAAAGCACCGGGCTGGTTCTGTTGCTGAGGTCTGCCGAGCAACACCGCAGATGGTGAGTGCTGAGACCCCACAGCCAGGGTACAGGGGCCAACAGCGTGGGGGCCTGCAGCAGTGGCCACGGCTCCCCGCTGGGAACTGGGAAGGGCCCGGCCTCACTGAGGAATGAGAGATGGCATCAGGTACAGCTCAGGTCTGAGTGTGCCTTGCTTTGCACGCTGTCTGGAACACAGCACACTCTGGGGTTGTGTGGGCTGTGCACCTGGCTTAGCTGGGAAAGGGGTCATCCGGGAATGTTGTTCTGGGGAGGAGGAGAGGACAATGTGTGACCTTCCGGACCGAGACAAGGCTCGTCTGCATCTGGATTCTCACTAGGGGAGATGGAGTCCTAGGACTTCCTTTTGTGGAAGAGCTGGGAATTCCCTCCACAAGGCCGATGGGAGGCCTGCAGGCTGGGCGACTGGGGAACAGTTCCCACTCGCTGGCTGGGAAGCCCTCACCTGGATTGGCAACTGTCCTGTTTCTGATTATAAAGCAAGAGGGGAAAGCTGTGTTTTGATGAGATGCTTCTCCCACTGAGACTGAGAATATTTTTTTATTTTTAAAAATATTTATTTTTTTGAAAGGCAGAGTTACGGAAAGAGTGGGGGAAGAGACACAGAAAGAGGTCTTCCATCTGCTGGGTCACTCCCCAAATGGCCACAACAGCCAGGGCTGGGCCAGGCCAAAGCCAGAGGCCAGGAGCTTCATGTGGATCTCCTCCATGGATGGCAGGGGCTCAAGTACTGGGGCCATCTGCTGCTTTCCCAGGTGCATAAGCAGGGAGTGTGGATCGGAAGTGGAACAGCCAGACCACAAACCAGTACCCGTACGGGATGTTGGCATCACAGGCAGCAGCTTAATCTGCTATGCCACAACGCTGGCCCCAAGGATATTTAATAACAAAGACAAATCACAGAAGGAAAAGAGTGGCATTTTGTTCCTGGGGTTAAGGAGAGTATCTGGGAATGCCCAAGAGGATGGGACTCCTGGCTTATGTCTTCCATTTCCATCTGTAAACAGATCTGACTATGAAGAGACAGTCTCCCTCTGCCCCACACCCACACACGGCTTTCTGACTTCTCAGGGAGCAGATGTTCTGTTCTCTGTGGCCTATGTAAGTTTTAGTTTAGGGGCCAGTGCTGTGGCATAGTGGGTGAAGCTGCTGCCTACAGTACCGGCATCCCATATGGGCACCAATTCTAGTCCTGGCTGCTCCACTTCCAATCTGGCTCCCTGTTAATGTGCCTGGGAAAGTCCTTGGGCCCCTGCACCCATATGGGAGACCCAGAAGAAGCTCCTGGCTCCAGATTGGCCCAACTCTCGCTATTGTGGCCATTTGGGAGAGTGAACTAATGGATGGACGATCTCTCTCTCTCTCTCACTGAATCTCCTTCTTGCTCTCTCTGTAACTCTGATTTTTATTTATTTATTTGAGAGGTAGAGTTACAGACAGTGAGAGGGAGATAAGAGAGGTCTTCCATCCACTGGTTCACTCCCCAGTTGGCCACCATGGTCGGAGCTGAGCTGATCCAAAGCCAGGAGGCAGGAGCTTCTTCTGGGTCTTCCACAAGGGTGCAGGGGCCCAAGTGTTTGGGCCATCTTCCACTGCTTTCCCAGGCCATAGCAGAGAGCTGGATCAGAAGAGGAGTAGCTGGGACTAGAACTGGCACACATATGGGATGCTGGCACTGCATGTGGAGGATTTAACCTACTGTGCCACAGCACTGGCCCCAATCTTTTTTCCTTTCCTTTTTTTTTTTTTTTTTTTTTTAAAGAAAGTTACCATTTATACATGCTTAACTGGACCTGTTCTCCACTGGGGTCCTGGAGAATGGACAGGCTAAAGAGACACATCTGGAAAACAGGGTCCCTCTCACAAAATGGTTCAGGAAGAGGAAGGAGCAAAGCTTTGGGGAACAGAAAAGACAGAGCAGACAGAGGGAATGAAGAAAGGCATACACCTCCAAGTAAGAGACCCCAGGGCCCAGCTGTGGGGCCCTTCTGAGGGATGCCAAGAGCAGAGTGGGACCCTTGCCCAGGAGGTTCTGGGAGAAGAGGGTTCTGTGGTCAAAGACCTAGGAAAGCTGTATGCTGTAGACACCTCTAGGAGAACCCCCAAAGCATACTCGGCAAGGAATGAAGACTTCCACAACGCTCAGGTGGGGAAGCATCTTAGACAAAAAGTGACCAATTCAACAGAGGCTACTGGGATGGGAGGGGCCCCTCTGCTAGGCCCCACCTCTTCCAGGAGCCTGGCAGTGGCTGAACTGTGTGGTCCATACCTGGAGGAACTGTCATCAGTGGGCAGGTCTGCTGATACTGATGTGTTAGCAAAGGTGCATAGGAAACAGTGAGCAGAGCGGAGAACCTGGTTTTTATCAAAGTGTGCCCTGCAGCATCTGAGACTGACCCTGAGGACAGTTAGTGATAAAGACAAATAAAAATATGTTGAAAGGATTAAACCAAGTCAAGGAGTTGGATTCTTGGTTCTCTGGACCTCATAATTGTATGCCCCTGTTTATAGTTTCAGCAGATCATTTGAAGGGGCCAGAGTAGGCTGTGCCGGAACCCCCAGCTGATGTCCTGGATGGCTGCATGCTGTCCCGTTTGGGAAATGGTCTACAGAGACATTGCTTCAAACATTATCAAGCATTTATCCTCCACTGTCCCTGCCCTGGACTCTGAAGATGGCTTCCCAGTTGTTTTGTGCAGGGATGTTTGGAGAGGCGCAGAGAAGCAGGGGCTGCGGGGTCATGAGGAGGTGTACCTGATGGTGACAGAGGAGCACTGTGCCAGCCTCCTGCCCGCGCTCTTCAGGCCGGTGTAGATCTGTCCCATCTCCATGGCTCCCTCAAGCCCCACCACTTCCAGGAGCTGATCGCCAAGGTCTGCAGGGGGAGATAGCGAAACCAGCGCTTTCAGGCCTTTCTGTTCCTCGGGCTGGCTCTGGCCAGGGGTGGGCCCTGGAAGGCCAGCAGTCTTTCCATGCTCACTCTGAACAGGGCATTTTCTCACGGGCAATGGACAGTACATGGACCTTTTCTTGGACAGAAGCCCAGCTCTAGTAAACAAAGGTTTTGATTCAGAACATGAACACACACCCAAGGAACAGATTGATGTATCAAGACACCTCTTCAAATGTAAAATAATATAAATTTCTTTTTTTTAAAATTATCTTACTTATTTGAAAGGCAGAATGAGAGAGAAAGGGAGAGACAGAAAAAGAGAGATCTTCCATCTACTGGTTCACTCCCCAAATGGTCACAATAGCCAGGAGCCAGGAACTCCAGCTGGGTCTCCTAGGTAGTTGGACCATCCTCCGCTGCTTTCCCAGGCACATTAGCAGGGAGCTGGATCAGAAGCAGAGCCTCCCATTCTTAAACCAACTCTCTGATATGGAATGCTAGTGACACACAAGGTGGCTTAACCCACTACAAAACAATGCCAGTCAACAAAATAATGTAAACTTCTTAAATAATTTTCAACCTCCAAGCTCAGTTAAAGGCACATTGGTTTGGGACCAAGACAGGAAGGAACGTTGATGGCAGCCATTCTCCTAGCCAGACCAAGTCTTCTCTCCTCCAGACATCTCAGTAACACCTTGGCCGGACTGATGATGACTGCTGGCTACCTCACCTCAACTCTGGCCTGTGGTAAGCCACTGCTGAACCAACCTTCTCGGACATCCTCAGGAGCTCGGTTAGGACACCGGGGGATTGATCAAAGCCAAGGAAAAGAATCTTTTACCTACAGTGGATTTTGTGGGTCCACACTGGAGGAGGAGGGGGCAGAAAACATTGAGTGCTGGGCTCGGAGCCACCGAGCGGATGGCCCCTGCCATGGTACTCATTCTGACTCAGAACCTGGGAGAAGCTTTCTACAGAGGTCCTGGGGCTTGGATTTTGCCTTCTGATTTCTTATGAAAGCAATGGCAGGATTAACATTTGATGTTGGGACCAAGACTCATTTTTACAAGGCAACTTTTATTTATTTAAAACAGAAGCAGAATAAGAAAATGTTTAAGTCAGCTTCACTCCTTTGCCAATCAAGGCAAAAAGCACCTTTTTTCTTCTGGTAGGTTGTGACTAATCACTAAGGTTCTATGAATATCCACCAACTGGAAAATTGTATCGGTGTTCATGCTTTTGTTTATTTCACAGATGGCTTTTGTCTTCCAAAGTGCCTCCTGGTATAGCGCAACAGTGTTTGTTAAGACTGGCCAGGAGGTATTTGGATTTGTCTTCACTCTTTTGTTTATAAGGCTAACTATTGCTCAAAAGCATTCTCTTGATGGATGTATTTCTAATGAAGACAGTTAAACAAACCTTCCGGCTGCCCACACATATGTCGACAATTCCATAGTCCAAACTACCCGTGCTCATCGATGGACATCGGCTGCCAACAACTGCATCAGTCTCTGCGAGAGGCACAGCTTTCCCTGTCCACCTGCACCGACACTTTCATTCCTGCTCTAGGACTCCCTTTTCCACGGCTGTGAAAACACACTGCCTCCCTGCGCCCTCCCTCTAATGTGGACTTGGAATAAGAAGCCATAAAAGGGTAATGTTTGTTTAGGAGCAGGCTCCAGGCTCTCTGAGGGAGTTTGGACCTAATAAACCATGAATGTCTAAATCTCTACTCACTTAATTAGTTCCCTTCTTACCGAGGGGGTTGAATAACTGTTGGGTAGTCTTAGCTTACTGTGTCATTCTAAGGGTGTCTGTGAAAACCATGTGGGCGGAGAGAGAGAAAGAGAAGTACAAGAAATGAAGGTGGGCGGGGAGGGGGGAGGAGGGCAAGGAGGGGGGAGAAGGGAGAGGAGGGGGAGAAATGAAAACAGCGCATCTAGGGGTGAGGAGGGAGGGGGTGGGGAGCGGAGGAGAAGAGCGAACCTTTCTAGAGCTTTCTCTAGTGGCAGAGACAGATGTCTTAGAAAACGCTGCTCTTTGTACCAGCTTTTGGTATCTGACAGTGCTGTGACAGTTCAGTGTTTTCCCTCCTTGAAACAGTCTCTGGTAACAAAATGTTCTAAGAGGCAGGGGACTTAAGATACTCAAGTGCTTTAGCTTTACAATGTCTTGGTCTTTTAACAAATTTTCCTGTTGAGTGGCTTTAACTCTGGAGTTGTTATCACTTCCCACACATTACCTTGCTTCCTGGCTCCAGCAAAGAAGTAATGAAGGCTGATCTCATCAGCAAGGGTGGGTGGGGGCAGGGGCTGACACGGATGTGGGGCCGAGGAGATACAGGAAGGGGCTAGGATCTTGGTGTGCTTTCTGCCATCTGCCTTGGAATTTGGTCTCTGAATCTCCCCTGGTATAAAAAGCCCGAGATGCCTGCTGTCCACCCCTGAGACAAAGCTCAGCCTTCCTTCCTCTTCTCTACCATCGTCCATTCGCTCTTTCTTTCAGCTTCCTACTGAGAAGTCCTGAGATCCATCGTTTTACTTTGTTTCCCACACTTAGCCCACCAAAGCCTTCTCCTGTGTGATACCGATGAATGGCCTACAGTTAGGAGGGTGCTTCAAAAAGCCAATGGAAAGTGGAATTAGAAGGAATTTTATTTTGGTGCAGAACATTAGAAATCCACACGTATGAGAGGGATCTTCAAGAAGTTTGTGGAAAATGAGCATTATGGGAAAATCACATGGATTTCAAAAAAAAATTTTAGACCAAAATAAACTTTTACTTCCATTTTCCATGAACATTTTGAAGGACTCTCTTATCAGTTTTCTCTGGAACACATTATGGCAAATTCTGGCGTCACTTAACCCCCTCTATCACAGAGATTATTCCTCTGCCACAGAGATACTTAGGCACACATTAGATTTGGCACTACAATGAAAGAGAACAGAATGCAAGCCAGCATCAAGGCCCAAAGAACCACTATTATCTCAACCACAGAACCCAAGACGCAGACACTAAAGATTCAGAGGGTGATCTTGGCAAATCACGTCATCTCCATTTAGTCTTACACTCTTCAACTCACTCGTATCTAAGATGGAGTGTCTGTGCGCCTTATCCAAGCAGAGACTCACTCCCTCATTCACTCCACAGCCACTGAGTGCCAGTCACCGTGTTAGAAATTGGAGGTATAAAATGTCCTCTTCTCGAGGGACCCTTGGTCACCAGGGAGACACACAGGTGGGTGTAGAAAAAGCTGTAATGGAACTCTAGGATCAAGGAAGCCTGAGTGACTGACCGGCCAGGCAAGGTGCATAAGAAAACATGTCACACAGGCTTCAGTGAGATCCTGAAGGGTGGACACCTGGTGGAGGAGAGGAAGGAGACACAGGGGTGAGCCCCCGTGTGGCTGGGGAGTCACAGGATGCAGAAAAGAAAATCATTTAGCAATAAGCCCAGCTGGCAATTTCACTGGAAAATTTAAAAAACCCTTTTTTCCTTAAGGATAATTGCTGTCCAGAGACTCCTCTGGGCCAGTGCTGGAGGAAGAGGGTCTCTGGGTCAGGCAGAAGCCTGTGGCGGCCCCAGAGCTGGGCCTTTCAGCATTGCTCCGGCTCCTCTGTAACCAAGCACATGCAGTGCTCTGTGGGTAAGAGAGCACTCAGCAAGAGCTCTCCAGGAAAGAAAGAAGATCGAGACTGGGAACAGGTGAGGACTAGCAGGAACACAGGAGCAGTTCCAATCTGGACCACTTGGTTCAGCCCCTGGTATACAGTTTTAGAAATGCAAATGGATCCGGTCTTCACCTCAACAAGAACCCTCAGTGGCACAAGCCACCCAAGTGCTGGGGAAGAGAAGATGCCACGTGGATCCTTTCACAATGATCATGCAGGAGACATTCTGGAAACAATTTGGGCAATTATAATACGATTCTAAGACTTTTGTGCTATTCGATCCACTAATTTCTTTCTTGGTATTGATCTTGAGAAATCACTGACAAGATCTAAGTTCTTCCAAATATGTACACTGTGGCATCATTTATGATAGTGAAGTCTCCCCCTCCCCCTTCACGCTTCCACCTGTAGGGGACGATTAAATAAAGGATATGGTCTGCACAGGACAGAGTTTTTTGCTGCTATTACAACATGTGCAGAGTTTTGATACCACTACATGTGTCTATGTTACAAGGTCGAGTGTGCAGGTGGGGAATAAGGCACACTGTCAACTAAACAAGAACAGGTAGAAAAGAAAAGAAAAAAAAATCCTAGCACAATCATAATAGTGGAAAGCTCTAGGTAATCAATACAGGTAACTTATTATTTGTGCTTTTCCAGGTGGTCCCTATTCTCTGTAAGTATGCATTAATGTCATAAGTTGAAGTCATCTGAAAATCTATCAGCCGCACTTTGTTTACAAAGATGAATTCAAACTCCCTGGCTTGATGCCCAGTATCCTTCCTAAGGCTGGGGGCTGCCTTGGCAGTTTCCCTTCCTGTCCCCAAAGGGCTAGGCTCCTGCTCCAGGCATCCCCACTTCTTCCCTCCCTTGTGCTCCCACAGGTGTGCTGCCCTTCCTTGACATGTCCTGTCTTACTTTTACTTGTCCATCAAAACTCCAGTCAAGTGTCATCAACTTCAGCCAGTTCCTCTGGACTGCCCCACCTGCAGTGTGATTGAGATCCACACCCTCAAACCCGTTCAGGTGGATGAGGCCAAACCGAAGGACAAGGAGATGGATGTCGGCCGTGTGCAGGAGTTGGCTGCAGTAAAACCTGCAGCGCCAGCTTTAGGTTGGGCAGGGAAGGAGTTGAAGAACTGGATGAAAAGGGAGAAGGCGAGGATGAGACCTGAGGAGTTCTGGAATGGTGGACTGGGACAGGAGGAGAGGCTGGGGAGTGGCACTGTGTGCAGCACCGGTCAGTGACAAATTCCACTGTGCGGCCGGAGGCGGGCAGCTGAAGCGGACGGGGGTGATGGTGGTGACTCA